GCTCTATGGGGCAGAATATTGGGTGTTAAAAAAAATACACCTATAGAATGAGTGTAGCGGAAATGAGGTTGTTGAGATGGGTGCAAGACAAGAAGGGATAGAATTTAAAATTTTACATTCTGGAAAATTTATGTGTGGCACCAATAGGTGATAAGATGACAGAAAGTAAATTACTAGCTAAGTGCGACACAGACCCAAGATAACATCAGTTAAGATGCGGGAGTTAGTTCAAATCGAAGGCTCAGAATGGGCAAGGAGTAGGCCTAAAAGGACATAATTGGAAGTAGTGAGAAAATATTTGTGGACTTAAGATATCACTGAGGGTAGAGCCCTAAATCGAGCAGAATGAAGGATTAGGATTCGTGTAGTTGACCCCAATTAGTTGGGAAAAGTCTTTGATGATGATGAACTTTCTTTCAAATATATGTTGATTTGTGCATTCCTCTCATGATACAATTTTATATACTTTTATTAAATATTTCAATTTTCAAAACTAACATACCACTATTTTAATTGCTTTTTACTGTTAAAATCTGTTACTTCTTGTATTAAAAAAAATTTGGTCAATAAATTTTCAGATTTGCTGTTACCATTAAAAATAATATGTTGATGTGGCTATTAAAAATAGGAAATTACCTTCCAATACTTATGAAATTTTTTTATTATTTATAAATTTAGTACAAAATTGTGTTACCTAAAAATTAGTTCATTACTAATTATATGATTTTTGAAATAAAAACTTGTTAATTTTTTCCTTTTTGACTATTTTTAAGCTTTTCATTAATAGTTTCTTCATCTAATTTAATGCCACGTGAGCAGGTCAGAATTGTGGCTGAATATATGTATACAATATAATTGATAATTTTAAATTAAAAAATAGTTTAATGGTAAAATCTTTTATATTCATGATTGTGGAATTTTAACACCTTTAGACTTCCGTGATTACACAATTTGCTGTATTTCATTAAGAAATCTTGAAATTAAAAAAAAACTATTTTTTTTCCAACAAAATTTCCATGTTTTAAAAATGGTTTATGAAAAAGTTTAAAGCTTCTCACAACAACTTTCAATATTTCATAAAATCATTATGGATTTCTACAAAAATAGGCACTACAAACCATAATGCTGTTTTTCTCCCATTGCTTAAATACATTTAAGTTGGTAATATTTTTCACAATCTATACAGAATTTTCGTAACTGTCTTTCCGAGTTTATAAGTACTAAACATTCGTATTGCTAATTTTATTGATTTATAATAAAAATATACCCTTTTCTGCAAAAACTGTATAGTTATATTTCTGTGAAATGTTCCTCTCTAAAGTCATTCTTATATATATTTCTATTCAATTTTTATATATTTTTATTAAAACTTTACAAATTTTCAAAAAATATACCATGATCCATTAATCAGCTGAATTTGTAATCTATGAATTTAGATGACTCGTTTCTTGTTGAAATCAATTGGTGTTGAGTGTTGATCTTATTGTTTAGTTATATATGTTTTAAATACATATGCGAAGCACGTCTAAGTGCTTCAAAATTTCACTGATGACTCGTTTCTTGTTGAAACAAGATCCAAAGAAAAGAATTTTATGGAGAAGGAAGATTCCTCATATTGAAAAAAAAAATCATTTTAATGACTTGATAATAGCTGATTTCAACTCTTCGAATAGAGCACGCTTTGCCTGTGGTATTTTTTTTAATGTTAGAATAAAAGAGCATGCGGATTTTTCAAAAGCTCGCGATCTTTGCAGTATTCTCGTGAATGGGTAACATGCGTAGCAATGTTCAGGCCAAGAGCATGGGTCTCTTAAAGTAACATTCATCTTTTTAAACAGATCAATACTTGTCATAAAAATGTTTTTTACTCCTTTATCTCTTGGTTGCATGTCTATGTGCAACAAACATAAATCCACATATTGCGCAAGAACACAATATCTGTAAAGTGAAGGATTAAAATCCAGCTTCAACTTTGGCGGTCTGGTTGGTCCCGTGTCCTCTCTAGTTAAAGAGAGTACTCAATCAGGGATAAGTAAGGTGGCATTTGGGCTTAATAAATGAGTTTGAGATAATCATGCTTGATTAATTGCAGACTATTAGGCGGCTCTTGAGCTTAATAAATAATGTTTGACATAATCATGCATGGTTAATATGGTAGTACCAGTACCACATATTCCATTACAAAAATAGATCTTCAAAAGATACGAACTTGTTAGCTCTTCTAAAGAATATGTATGTAGTTCTCGTGCAGTTGTATGGAAACAAATATTTTATTGACTTAATAGCTAATATCAATTCTTCTTACGGAACATCTTTTATATATCAATAGTCATGCCCATAACACGCTATGCATGTGGACCTTTTCTTTTTATTTATTGATTTATTTATTTGTTTATTATAGTGTTAGAATGAGATAGCATGTGGGCCCTGAAAAAATTCTCCATCCGAGATGTGTTCTAGTAAAGTGAGAAATAAGCAAGGTTTAGCTAAGGCGTTTCCCATAAATGACACACAGCAACGCCACCTAGTTGCGGTAAAAAATCGGCAAGGGTTCCCACATCATTATGGACGAGCGTTGGTAAAGAAGCTAGTCCAAGATAATAGCATTTGTATAGTCACATGCGAAATGAATACATTAAGGAAATGTAACTGTAACACTAATAGGTAACAAGATGAGAGAAAGATAATAGAGTTAGGTGGGCTGGCCATGTGTGGCGCAGACCCAGTACAACACCTGTTAGGACTTGTAAATTAGTTCAAGTAGAAAGCTAAAAGAAGGAAAAGGGTAGGCCCAAAACAACATGGTTGGAAGCAGTAAGAAAAAATATGGGGTCTTATGGCCTCATTGAGGGTATAGCCTTCAATATAGAAGAATTACAGACCAGGATTCGTGTAGCCGACCCCAATTAGTTACGAAAAAGATTTGATGATGATGATAATAATGATAATGAGATATATTCTGGTGCGTGGGTCACATGGAATGGAATGTTCATGCCAACAGTACCCGTCTCATATCCAAAGGGACCAGCGAAATTCCTCGTTTTAAGCAGTTCACTATTTCCCATAAAAACTATATGTGATTTTCTCGAGGCGTCTAGCAGCATGATCGTAGTTCTTGTAGCCATTTGTTATATGTGATAATATTTTCATGAAAGCATTTTTACATGAAAAAACTTCCCCATCTGATTAGTTGTAGGAAGTTTTTTTTACACCAATTAATTGCCGATTGGTGTGAAAAAAAGTGCTAGACCAATTTGTGACAAACAAAACTTACACACTTAATCATATGGAGGAGTTCTGTCATTTGAAAATACTATCACAATATCTTTTTTTTGGTACATACCAAATATGCCCTTGGAAGAAAGCTTTAACACTCCTCATTTTATTTTATTTTTTGGGGTAATTTATGGAAAGACAAGCCCCTACCCCATATTTCAAATAGATTAAAAGTTAGATTTTTAAAAGTTTGACTGGGGCTTGATTGGTTATTTTTTATGATAATAATACTAGGGATTGATTGGTTGGCTGTTGACCTCAACGGTTCCTTCAAGAATACTATCCGATAAGGAGAAGTATAATATTAGAATCATATATTCACAAGAGTAAATATAATATTATAATGAAACCCCCAATTAATGCCTATAAATACCCTATCTCTCTCAAGTATCAAAGCACCATCACTCTCTTGATGGTCCTTGGATAGCCTAGAGCTAATCTTGGTCCATTTGTCTTTGTTCCTCCTCTTTGTTGTGCTTGTATCTGTGTGTTTGTGCCCATTTATAATTGACTCCCAGATACTATCCTTCATTTGCCTCAGCTCCCTGATCCCACAAAGGTATAATCTTCCCGATTTTGGTCCTCTCCCCAGGGGTTCTTTATCTCTCTTTAATATAACTCGGCTAACGGTTCGCTATTTTTTGAGCAAAACACTTTCAATGGTATGTTTGGTTTATATGAAAATGTTTTTTAGAAAATATTCTCATATGAAAAATTCTGTCATGCAGTAAGTGTTGAATATTTTTATATTAATTAAATGCCTAATACTAAGATTAATTGGTATGAAAATATTTCCACACTTGACTGGATGAGATAATTTTTTCATGTGAATTCATGCGAACCAAAAGTGCTTCTCCCTGGTTATTTCATTCCACTTGGTATAAATATCGCATTGCTCATGAGCCTTGAACCTTACAACAAAGGCTCCAATCCCACACCCACAACTTTTTGACGCTTTGAAAAATGCAAAATAAAAGAGACGCGTTAACAAAGCAAGAGAAGTGTTCAAAAAGCAAACTCCTGCAGCCTTCATTTATTTATTTATTTATTTATTTATTTATTTTTATGTATTAATAGAGCTTAAAAAGAATGGTTTCGATGGTCTATCCACTACACCACCCTACTAATAATATAAAATATGGATGGATTATTTTATATATTTATTATATTTTCTTTTTTAAAAAACAACTGAACAGAACTCTGGGTGAGGTACTCAGACTAGCCCCGAGTAAAAGAATGGTTAACAAAGCGACGCGTTAACAAAGCAAGAGAAGTGTTCAAAAAGCAAACTCCTGCAGCCTTCATTCATTTATTTATTTATTTATTTATTTTTATGTATTAATAGAGCTTAAAAAGAATGGTTTCGATGGTCTATCCACTACACCACCCTACTAATAATATAAAATATGGATGGATTTTTTTATATCTTTATTATATTTTCTTTTTTAAAAAACAACTGAACAGAACTCTGGGTGAGTTACTCAGACTCGCCCCGAGTAAATCGCGTCGGCCATAGGCGGAATTAAAAGGGCCTAATTATCATGGAGAACAAAAGAGAAAACACTTCATTTAGTTCATGCTTTCATTTGATATTCATAAAGTAGCAATGCATCACTCCCATAGTTATTTATGAGTGAAATGATAGAACATACTGAGAAAATAATGAATTTGAGGATTTAATAGCAGTGGGGCTGAACCTTTGCTATTTTGCAGCATTTGCCGAAATGTGGGCATCCTTAATTCTCTTGTTGGTCCTATTCGAAGGAATTTCTTGCCAATCAGTTCCGGGAACACTGATAAACAGGAAAGAGGTGATCACAGAAGAACATGGTGTTGTGGCGGCAGATGATGGTCGTTGTTCCCAAATTGGCAGCACAATTCTTCAAAGAGGGGGCCATGCAGTTGATGCATCAATTGCCGCTGCATTCTGTCTCGGTGTTGTTAGCCCGGCATCAAGTGGAATCGGTGCGGGTGGTTTGATGTTGATTCGATCTGCAAATGGGCTTGTGGAAGCCTATGACATGCGAGAAACTGCTCCAGCAGCAGCTTCAAGGGTAAAATAACGACAGAATTGCTTATTTTCTATTTTAGCAAAGAAAGTTTTTTTCTCCCTAATTTCCATTTAATTCTTTCTTTCATAGCCTAATGAGACTTTTAGACTTATGAGGCATGTAGAATCTACTTAGGTTATAAAAATGGCACCAGTGGAGTTAACATAAAATATCTGATACAAAACAACAACATTACTTTTTGTGCCCTTCTTCTGAAACTTCTAGATAATAATGTACCATAGATAGATCAAGTTCGATATATTGTGCGCGAGTTAAGGGTGGGTGAGTCAGTTGGGAGAGGATCCCTACCCTTTGTAGGAATTGAGCCTTGGGACGTAGCTTTTCAAATCGTCAAGCACTAACCAATTAAGCCCGAGCTCTTCTGTTGAACAAACAAACCTGTAAATGATTTACTAACGGAAAGCAATATGTTTATAGGATATGTATGCCAATGATCCCTCCGCAAAAGAACAGGGAGGACTAGCTGTAGGAGTTCCTGGACAAGTATTAGGTCTCTACCAGGTGTGGCAGAAATATGGCAAGCTCCCATGGAAGGAACTTGTGGAACCTGCAATTGCACTAGCAGGATTGGGATTTAAGATATCTCCTTATCTATATTATCAAATGACACAAACAGAGGCAGCAATACGACAAGATGAGGGTCTAAGAGAGAAATTCATGGAATATGGGGAACTCTTGAAGATTGGAGACATTGTTCGTGATGTTAAACTTGCGAGAACATTGACGGAAATTGCAATTCATGGACCATCGGTGTTTTATGATGGTCCAGTAGGGGTCGATTTGGTTCATGATATCAGAGAGAAAGGAGGGATAATCACAATGGAAGACTTAAAAGGTTATGTGGTCAAACAAAGGAAGCCAATTTTTGCAAAGGTCATGAACCATGAGATTTTTACCATGCCTCCACCTTCTTCTGGTGGCGTTGGCCTGATAATGGTGCGTAATTCTTCTCGAATCACCATGGATGACTCTTGTCCAATTTATTCATCTAATAAATCAATCCCATTTTTTCCTTTTTACGTGTCTCATTTTTTTGTTTATTGCATGAGAATATGAAGAATGCATTTTATGTCGCAGGTTTTGAATGTACTTGCTCAATATGGTAGTGCTGAAGCCCTTTCTGGAACCCTTGGACTTCATCGATTGGTTGAAGCGATGAAGCATATGTACGCAGAGAGAACCAATCTAGGTGACCCAGACTTTGTGAATGTTGAACCTGTTATATCTCAAATGCTTTCCCTCAAGTTTGCAAGAGAGGTGAAGAATAGAATAAATGATAGCACAACTCATGACCCCAATTTCTATCTTGAAAGGTAATAATAATTGTTAAAGCTTTAACATTAAACACACACAAACACAAAAATAAATAAATAAATAAATACAGGAAAGCGTTTCATTCAAGCTTCATATCTCACTAGCTACCAACTCAAAACTTAGAGTGGTGAGGAATTCCATAGAAAACCATTGAGCCCTCTTTCTCTCTCTCTCACATTTGTCATCAATGTTGTATTGCACTTTGAGGGACTTTTTGCATTTTAAACTTTCAATTTCAAAGCGAATTTATCGGTTGTTTCTTGCAGGTATAACCAAACCATAGACCATGGCACGAGTCACATGAGCGTGGTTGATAGTGAGAGAAATGCAGTTGGCTTGACGAGCACTGTTAATAATTTCTTTGGAGCATGGTTTCGGTCTCGAAGAACAGGCATGATACTCAACAATCAGATGGATGATTTTTCCATCCCTTCAAATACTACTTCAAATACCACCATGCCTCCGGCTCCTGCAAACTTTATCGTGCCACACAAAAGGCCCTTATCCTCCACAATGCCCACCATAATCCTCAAGGTCAGCTCTCTCTCTCTCTCTCTCTCTCTTGAATGAGAATTACCTTCTTACTGCATTTCCCATTTATGTTGTACAGAATGGGCAACTTAACGCTGTGATTGGTGCAAGTGGAGGACCAAGAATTATTCCTGCAAACATACAGGTCTTTTTGAATCATTTCGTTCATAACATGGACCCCTTTTCTGCGATTTTGGCACCTCGAGTCTACCATAGGGTATATTTCTCTTGGCCTTCGACTTCTTCATATGGTTTACTTCATTTTTTGTAGATGAATAGGTTAGGTTGCATTTTATTACCACAGAGAGGTAGCAGTGAAATGTGTCCCTCTGATATGGAGGGAACAAAATCATGACTTTTGAGTCCTATAAATATAGTTTTCCAACAAAGAGAAATCAAAGAGAGAGATAGAGATGAGTTGTAACTTCTGATTGGTACAAGGAGTTCGACTGGTTTTGGGGACCTCACTCTCTCTTTGACGAAGTGAGAGATATTATTGTTTGTGTTCTTGAACATATTACAACTTAGAAATGTTTTTGTTTTGCAGCTCATACCTAACTTTGTGGAATACGAGAAATGGGACACAGTGAGTGGGGATCACATTGAGGTGAGCCTTCGCGATAGGTTAGGGCTAGCAAGGAAGGGTCACAAGCTTCAAGCCTTAGCATTTGGGGCCAAATGCCAATTTGTGGTTCAGCACCTCCCCATCATGGCAAAGGGAAAGAGCATTATTATGGGGAATCTTACCGCCGTAAGTGACCCACGAAAGGGAGGTTTCCCTGCCGGTTACTGATCGCTTTCTCCATCTCATTCAAGCCTGAGGATTCAAGCCCATTACCGGTCTTATAAGAGTTTCTGGGCTTTGCCCTGCTAAATAAACCGTCTTCAGGCGATCTGGGGTGGCAACTTCATTGTTATTACTATTAATTGTTAAGGGCGAAATTAATCTCGTGTGTTAATCAATCTAAATGTGCTCATGTTGTTTTACATTATAAGTTCTACTTCATGGGTACATCCCAAGCGCCTAAGTATCCATCCAAAACTGGCCCAAGTGCACAATTGTTGAGTACTACTTTGAAGGGGTTCCTCAACTCCTTCTCTCTCATTTTGTTGTAAGAAAGATTAATTCCCTCCGGCGTATGATATTTTTAACAAATTTTCACATTTCTTGATAGAAATTGCAGATTTTTAGTATGTTAAAAATTTTATCCCACATTTTTGTAGATTTAAAATAAAAAATTTCTCTCCACTAGAAAAATTTTAGAGATGTATTCCAACAAAACATTCTCCCTTTTCATTTGTGAAAAACTATCACTGATCACCAGTTCCTTGTAAGAATTATTTACAAGTTTTTGTAAAATAAAATTTTCATTGTTTCATGCTTCTTAAATTTATTTTTATTTTTATCAAAAAGCAATAATTATTTAGACGAATAACATGTTTTTATAATCATCTGGATTTATTTTATTTATGAATTTACTTCTTTAGTTTACCAGTCATATGATCTGTAACCCCTAAGTCTATTATCCAAGAAAAGGTATTATAGTAAGACTTGAAAGTACAATGATTACCTTTGTTTTGAGAGGAGGAAATTGGATCCTGTATAGAGGAAGAACTACTCCTGTCAATTAGTTTATGAGAATAATCACAGTTGCACCATTTTAAGTGGTTGCGGCCTTAGTAGCAGATCTGTTGGTTGTTCTGTAATTGGTGGGACTTAAGTGTTGGTACAACGCCCAACGCCTGTCCTTCACATATCCCATGTTGTTGCAGTGGTCACATCTTGGATGCTTTCTATTAACGCAACCCCTTCCACCACCGCAATAATTAGTAAAGCCTCTACATCCACCATTAGTTTCATATTTTATGGTTTCATGCTTTTCATTGGTAGTAACCAAGGTAGATTTCTCAATATTTTCTTCAGGGGTTTTGAAGCCAAGACTCATCATTTTCTTCCTATTTTTTTTCGTTGAATGGTAGCACAAACATTTCTAAATGAGGGTAATTCTGTAGTCATTAAGATTTGGCTCCTAATGGATTCAGATTCATTATTTAACCCAGCCAAAAAATTAAATATTTTGTCTTGCTCAGCACATTTTTGCAAGATTGCCAAGTTAGTAGTTGTAGGTGAGTACATTGCAACTCATCCTAAGTACCAAGGTGATATTGTTTTGTTGGCCATACATTTCCTCAATAGAGTTCTATAAATCTTGAGTAATTCTCAGCAAGAAGTAAAAATTTCTAAAAGCTTAGGTTCCATGGAGTTCAAAATCCATGACATCACAAGTTCATTATTGGATTGCCATTCTTCAAACAAGGAATTATCTTTATTGGGAGCCTTTTGCTTCCCATTGATGTGCCCACGTTTAGATTTCACAGAAAGAGAACGAGAAATAGCTATCACCCAAGAAATATAATTAAATTCATTGAAAGAACCGGTAATAAGTTTCATACTAGAGTTACGTTTTGAATCTGCCCTTACAAAAAAATAAAAAGAACCAGAAGACTGACCTGATCAGTAAATAGCAATAAAAGAATGAAAAACACCTCAACTGGAAAAACCGAAAACCCCAAATGAATACTATTGTTTTCTCTCTCTAGAAATTGACAATATGTATTCAACTGATTGTGAATTTAATGCTCCCGATCGAAATAATTGGCCGCTTTTCTTCAAACCAAATGAAACGGCCTTCAAGATGTCACCTTTGAAAAAGAAAGGCCGAGAGAGATCAGGCATCCGTCATGCCAAGGGAGAATAAGAACCAAGACCTCTGGGTGTTGATCCATAGTTAGCAATCGGGACTATCAATAAATCGGCACGAAATAAAACGTTTTTATTTTTACAATATTAGAAAATTTGAAATTCTAAGCAATGAAAATTATGCCAAAGCCATCAATTACTAATTCATCTATACATCAATTACTAATTCATCTATAAAAATTTTACTAGACTAATATAATTAAGCTAATTAATTTAGATGTCTCAGGACTCTCATCCAATCATCAAATATTAAATATATAATTAATTAGTATATACCAAAAAAGGTACCGTATAAATCTATCCATTAAATACTTTAAGAAACATCACACCTACTTATTACATACAAAAACAAATATACTCTATAAATTTATTCATTAAAATACTTTAAATATGGTATGGTGACAAATAGACTATAAATTTATTCATGAAATATTTAAACATAACTCCTACTTAGCTGGTACCAAAAAATAAATGCACGATTTTTGTTTTCTCATTACAATTATTTAAGTATGGTATGGTGACTATGGTCACTCCATAACTATGGTTAAAGTTTTATAAATTTCTTTAGTTGAAAAGAAGCTCGTAGAAATTTGGATTTTACATATGTGTTTACTGTGTAGAGAGAGAAGAAGGAAGAAGGAAGAGAAGAAAATGTGGCTCGGCTCATAGCCATTAGGGTTTATAGAGAGAAGAAGGAAAAAGAAAATGGTTTTCACAAACCCTAATGGAAAGGACCCTAACTGATTTTTAGAGAGAGAGAAGGAAGAACCCCAATGGAAGAGACCATAACTGATTTTTAGAGAGAGAAATGGAAGATGGGATGCTGATTTAAGAAGATGGGTTGCTGATTAGCATGAAGAAGGTTTTTTTCTCTGATTTGGTATAGTTTGAAGAGAGCTTTTTCATTTTCTTGAGGAAACAGAGCTGAAGGATTAAGTTTGGGGAACTAATCCTATATGGACAATTGCTTGCTCCGATAAGTTTACAGTTTATACAATCAAAAACAAAATATTGATTACTTGGTCCTGCAGTCACACTCTCTGCTTCTCATTCATCACTAAAAAATTATGCTTTGAGCTTTAATTTGTGCCAATAACAATATTTTCATAAAAACAATTATCACAGCAATCTGCCTGTATATGATTTCTTTACACAATGATTTACTTTACAAAATGATTTGCTATAAACAGTATTTCATTTACACAATTATTTTTCAGAAGGACAACTAAAATTTGCATCTATTTGATTAAGTTTTAAAAAAAAAAATTATACCATCAATCTGCAACTCTTGAATTCAAAAAACACAAAAACACTTCAAATAGTGTTCTTTATAGGCTTGAAAGAAAATAATGACTCAAGATTGAATAGAAATCGTGCAATTTTTTACGGGTGATATCTAATTGTTAACTAACTCAAAATTCAAAATTTTCTTTGGAATATAATCACCAAGTGATTTTTAGGTGGTTAACAATATTTTGTAGCAAAAACTTATATCAAGTTAGTCTTTGGTAACATGCATATTATATATTTTCATTTCTTACGCACGAATTGGAATTTTTATTGGAAAAGTGTATAAAGAGATAATTACTTTTTGGCACAAGAAGGTCACAATTATTCTTATCCGTCAAATTTCAAATTAAGTGGTTGTAAAAAGTATGATCGACTAAACTCAAAGTTAAAAAGAAAATCGATCTTTGTAACACACCCTAAGCCATCCAATTTGACATCTAATGGCTACAAGTAATTGTGACCTCGATGTTACAAAGATAAATGCCCTCACAGTATAAGATCCCACTTTTTATTTTATTCAACTGCTTTCAGCTCTATAACTTTACACTCTCGTGGCCCCAAACTTAGGCGCTCTCCATAACAATAGATAAAATTGTGTCACAACATTCAAAAAAATTTATTTGGACTTTATACTCAAACAATGACACATTTTCAACCACCCAATTTCAAATCCAACCCTCAATGATAATTATGACCGCCTTGTATCCAAAATAAATAATCATTATATACATTCCCCAAAAAAAAAAAAAATCACACGAGGCTAATTTAATCTATCACAAACATTAGGTAATAAAAAATTTAAAATATATTAAAAATTATAAACCATATTTCTTATAAAAATTCGTACTTATAAATAAAATTTTGATAATAAAATACATTTCACTAGTCTACTCTACGTTGTATGTTCTAGATTGTGTAGAAATTAGCAAGACAGTAGATTTACCTTTTTCTTGTTTAGAGAGAGTTTCCATCCAATGTCTCTCCCTATCCCCTCTCTCACTCTCTAGCTTGTCTTTGTCCGAAAGACGAAGAAAGAATAACAGAGCAAAAAGCAAAGGATGAAGTTTCCATAGGCGACAAAAATAAAGCCTCACCTAAAATCCTCATTTAAGAAGCACTTTTGGCATAAGGAAATCTTCATGATAGCTTTAAATTAGATTTTGTAGATCAGCAATAAAATTTGAAATTAAAAAAGTGGTATAGATCATGCAGATCTGTGAACACTTATTTTTAAGACGAAATAGATGGTCTAGATGATTTGTTGCAATATACATTATTTTTAGATTTGTTTAAATCCCAAGTTTTTTTCACAACTATAATATTCAAGCTGAGGTAATTGATTTCAATATTTTTAATACTTGGGTTGAAATTTTTTATGAATTATAAGGTGAGGCTTTTTTTATCTTAATAGGGCTGCGGCCCTGTCGAACCATTTTCCAAAAACAAAATACAAGCTACAGATAGACCCACTCTTAATTACGCAAGTTTAAAACCCATTTTTTGCCCAGTAACCTACGCAATAAGACCGAAATGAGACCGTTACGTTATATTTCCTTTTTATTTTTTTATTCACTCTAACATGGAGGATATCCTTAATAGAGAGCGGAAGGAGGTGGTTATCAATAATTCGTAACTTTATATTGGATTACAAGAATAGGGTTGGGGTCGTGGTATTTGTGCCCCGACTAGGTCTAGGCTTACATTTCCACCCGTATTCAAAAACCACTAACGATTCAAAAAAT